GGCACAGAGAGGTGGGGACTGGGTGGAGGTGGGCATAGTGGGGAAGTGGGACATCAGTAACAGGGTCAGCAATAAAAATGTATTCTCTGTTCTCCGTCCTGTGTTCTTTGTCCCTGAGGGAGGACAGGGGTGGTCAGAGGAGGAGAGGGCCGAGGTCTCTGGGAGAGGAACTGGTGGGGAGGACAGGTTTCCTGTGGGCATGATCCCAGGAGCCGAGCACCATGAGGGGCTTGGTTACTGGTGCCGGTCCTTTGTCTGGAATGTGCTTCCTGAAGGAAGATATGAGGCCCCTGCTGTGTAGGCAGCAGATGAGGGTGCTGTGTTACAGAGAGTTTTGTTTTATCCAAAAGGTCGTGGGAGGTGAGCCCCAGGATCATGTGGTTGGGACACTGAGGCAAAGGGATGTGGGGGTTCCTTGCTGGAAATAAATGAAGACTGCTACTAGGAGTGGAGGTGGAGGCCAGTCCTAGGTCATTTGGAAATAGTTAGGGTCAGGAGAGCTGGAATATCTGAGACGACAGGACCAGGCATCACGCTGCCGAGAAGGTAGGGGTTCAACATAACGATCTCGTGCTCCCGTAAGTGAGGGCACTGGGCGTCTCTCAAGGAGGGTTTCTGAGGCCAAGAGGACGGCTGCTCTAACCCCAGTGCCCACCAGTGGACACGTGGATAAACATAGTGCCTGTAGGCCACGGAACATTCCTCAGCCACAAAAAGAAGGAAATCTGACCATTTGGGACAGTAAGGATAGACTAGAGGGAGTCATGCTGAGTGGAATTCGTCAGTCATAGAAAGACAAGTGCCATATGCTCTCATGGACATTGAAATGCAAAAAACAAATAAATGAACAGAGAAAATAAACACAGACTCATGGGCACGGAGAGCAGACTGGTGGTGGCCAGAAGGGAGGGTGGGGGAGGGGGAGACAGAGGTGAAGGAATGAAAAAGCACAAATTGCCCCGAATAGCTGCAGCAATCCTGAGAAAGAACAAACTGGGAGGGAACTCAATACCAGATATGAAACGTATGAAAAAGCCACTGTTCTCAAAACTGCCTGATACTGGCACAAGAACAGACATATAAACCAATGGAATAGGTTAGGGAACACAGAAATCGACCCGAACCAATATGCTCAATTAATATTCGACAAAGGAGGCATGAACATACAATGGAGTCAAGACAGTCTCTTCAATAAATGGTGTTGGGAAAATTGGACAGATACATGCAAAAAAATGAAACTAGACCAACAACTTACACCATACACAAAAATAACTCAAATGGATAAAGGACTTAAACGTAAGATGGGAAACCAAAAAAATACTAGAGGAATCCACAGGCAGCAAAATCTCAGACATATGCCGAAGCAATTTCTTCACCAATACAGCTCCTAGGGCAATGGAAACTAAAGAGAAAATAAACAAATGGCACTACATCAAAATAGAAAACTTCTGCACAGCAAAGGAAACCATCACCAAAACAACAAGAGAGCCCACTGCATGGGAGAACATATTTGCCAATGTTATCATCAATAAGGGCTTTATCTCCAACATTTACAGGGAACTCATGCAACTTAACAAAAGGTAGAACAACACGACCATCAAAAAATGGGCAACAGACCTAAATAGTTACTTTTTGAAAGAAAACAGAAGGAAGGCCAAGAGACATATGAAAACATGCTCAAAGTCACTAATCATCTAGAGATGCAAATCAAAACGACAGTGTGATACCATCTCACACCTGTCAGAATGGCTATCATCAACAAATCAACACACGACAAGTGTTGGAGAGGATGTGGAGAAAGGGGAACCCTTGTGCACTGCTGCTGAGAATGCAGACTGGTGAAGCCACTATGGAAGACAGTATGGAGTTTCCTCAAAAAATTGGAAATGGAACTCCCATTTGACCCCGTGATCCCACTTCTGGGAATATGGCCCAAGAAACCAGAAACACCAATCAGAAAGGATATATGCACCCCTAGGTTCATAGCAGCACAATTTACCATAGCTAAGATCTGGAAACAGCCTAAGTGCCCATCAGCAGATGAATGGATTACAAAACTGTGGTCCATACACGATGGAATACTATGCTGCTGTAAAAAAGAAGGAATTCTTACCATTTGCAACAGCATGGACGGACCTGGAGAGCATTATGCTGAGCGAAATAAGCCAGTCAGAGAAAGATAAATACCACAGGCTCTCACTCATTTGTGGAATATGAAGACCGTCATAAACCGATGAACAAAAGCAGAACCAGAGCCATAGAAGCCCAATCAGACCCTCCAACCGCAGAGGGAAGGCCGGGGAGGGTGGGGAGCGGAGGGGAGGACGGGGTGAAGGAGCGAGCAGCACGGGCGGGCGCTGCAAAGCCGCCACGGGGATGTGAAGCACGGCACAGGGAACACGGGGAATCATGCTGTGGACACTGTGTGTGGGGCCGGGCGCGCTGGAAATATGGGGTCCCTGCACGGTGACCCGGACACCAGTGCAAAGAATACCGCGTGTGATGGTAATTTAAACACTTATAACGTTAGAACAAAGGAAGGCCAGGAAACAGCTGTGGCCGTATCGCTAGGAGGCAAGAAAGGAGCCCTGGTGGCGCGGCCCGGTGTCTGGTGAGGCCCGCGGGCGTGTGTCTAACGGGGTCGGTCTCTCAGGCTGCGGAGGTCCGGCTCCCGAGGGGAGCAGTTATGGCGGCTCACGGACGACGGCAGTTTCGGTTTCACCGCGGCCGGAAGGAACCTGCCGAAAGGCTTTACATGCCCCTCAGCCCCGGGACCGTGGGTATTACTGGGGGCACAGCAGGGACCGACCGCTGGCCCAGCGGCGGAGGCTCCCCGCGTTTCTCCGTGCCCCCCCCCCCCATTGTCCAGGGCCCACCCTGAGGGAGAAGGCAGCTCCGAGTGAGCGGTTGTGCGCTCGGGCCCTGAGAAGACACGGCAGCTCAATGGCCGAGGACCTTGGCCTACCCTTAGCGGTTGGGGAACTCGACCTGGCGCTCGGGGTCAGGATGAGGCAGTGGTCGCTGGGGCCGGAGAGGAGAGGTCAGTCAGGCCGGGCGATGGAGCCCGGAGCGTCTTTCAAGATGGCTGCAGACAACGACGAGGACTTTCCCGCCTGCAGGGTGGCCCGGCCCAGCGCAGGCGCAGTTGGCCACTCTGGGTTCCGTCAGTGCACATGCTCAGATCTGCCCTTTAGCGAACCCTGAGTCCAGCTATGTGTAAGCTGATTCGCTTTTAATGAGATGTATTTAACTTTAAGAATGAAAAAAAATTTTTAAATACCTGTTTTTTACTGTATTTCTTTAATATCTCACCAAGGGTATGGTTATTGACTTTTCTGAGTTTGGATGGGATATATATACATGGGGCTTGTGGAGAAACATCGAGATGTGTCTGCTTGTATGTGCTTTGTTGATAGCAGCTCCTACCATTTTGGGTGTTGGGACCACCCTCCAAGCAACTGAGTCACCTGGCTAGAGCTGTTCTTTTGTTTTAGTAAATGGAGTGTAGGAGGTGGGCTATCTTCTCAAATCCTTCCCATTGTGTCGGAACTAGTGTGGTCGGGTGCCTGCCTCAATGAAGCCAATGTCGAGAGGCAGGTTCTGATTTACAAAGAAAGGTTTGATTCAGATGCTGCGTGACCTGGGAGAAGGGTGGACTTACCTGTCATAGATCACCACCCCTTCCTGCTCAGCCCCAGGGTTCTTATAGGGATAGGGAGTGGGGAGCTTTTATTCCCTTCTACAATTATCATGATAGTTTAGTTTGCCCTTATGTCCTGTCCATTCATCTCCCTGGTTTTTGGCTGGCTTAGTGAAAGAACCTCCTCTTGCCCCACTTAACCAATGAGAGGGACTCCTTGCTGCTCCCTGACTGTATGGTAACGCCATCATTCTCCAACACCCTCACATAGGGAGTCTCTCCTAGGATTCCTAGCACCTCTCTAGTAAGGAAAAAAATTTAAACTGTGTTTTAAAATCAGCATTTTATATGTTTCTTTCTAGAAGACTCAACAACCAGAAACATTTTTATTTCTTCATACTAATATTTATAACTCTGGTATTAATTTGAGTATTTATGTGATTAGCGCTTGTGTGTTCCTTAGTGGGCTCAACAGTCACTTCTTCTGGGACATCTCCCCTACCCCACTGGCAGTGCCCCCAGTGCTCCTCATTACCCCTGGGCTTTATCCATGGACAACCCTGATCTCTCTAGAATGCTGATAGAATGACAGAGAGCTCTCTGAGGACAAGGACAGGTTCAGGACCCCTGTGCCAGCACAGAACGTTTTATATGCATCACCCCATTTAATTTTCATAGCCACCAATGGAATTAAATCAGTGGTTCTCAACCTTCCTAATGCTGCGACCCTTTAATACAGTTCCTCATGTTCTGGTGACCCCCAACCATAAAATTATTTTCATTGCTACTTCTTTTTTAAAAAAAATATATTTTATTGATTTTTTACAGAGAGGAAGGGAGATGGATAGAGAGTTAGAAACATCCATGAGAGAGAAACATCGATCAGCTGCCTCCTGCACACCTCCTACTGGGGATGTGCCCACAACTAAGGTACATACACTTGACCAAAATCTAACCTGGGACCCTTCAGTCCACAGGCCGATGCTCTATCCACTGAGCCAAACCGGTCAGGGCTCATTGCTACTTCATAACTGTAATTTTGCTATTGTTATGAATCGTAATGTAAATATCTGATATGCAGGATGTATTTTCATTGTTACAAATTGAACATAATTAAAGCATAGTGATTAATCACAAAAACAATATGTAATTATATATGTGTTTTCCAATGGTCTTAGGCAACCCCTGTGAAAGGGTCATTCGACCCCCAAAGGGGTCGTGACACACAGGTTGAGAACGGCTGAATTAAATAGTGATATCATCCCCATGGGGCTGATGTGGAGAGTGAGGTTCAGAGAGTTTAGCCACCTGGTCAAGGACACAGAATCAGCAGGCAACAGAGCTGGAATTCACCCCCAAGTCGAACGTAGTCCAAGATCTATGCTTTTAATTTCTATTCTATTTTGCCTCAAATATTCATTAGTTGGTTGAATGAATGATGGCGACACAGCTAGCAAGTGGTAGAGATGGTATTTGAACCCAAGAGAACCTATGCTCTTAATGAGTACACGATCTTCCACATCCCCTACCACCCTGAGTGATCTGGTGTCTCCTGGTTAGACCTTTGAATATGCGGAAGTGATTGAATGGGAGTACCTCCAGGCATTGGAAAAATGAAGAGGGTCGGGAATCAGAGGTCTCTTGCATTGTTTACAAGAACCATCCTTTATTAAATCCACAAACAAAAGAAAATCTCTGTCTCTGGGAATGAATCATGAAGTCATTCTCTTTGTGTTCGGTTTTGCATTGATATTACACCCCTTGAGCCATTCAGATAAATCACGGCCTTGACAGTGCTGGGTCCAAGAACCCCTGGGAAATGGAAGGAGGGCGGAAAGATGAAGTGGACAGGCTGATGGCATGGTAGTGCCACTTGGCTGCCCAGGGTCCAAGTCATTCCCATAAACTTACCAGGCATTCATACCGTCCCGTGAGGACACGACCTTCTTGGCACACATGATGTCATCCAGAATATGGCGGTTGAGAAGGTCTGGGGGAAATAGAAGGACATAGTGATCTGGTGCATTGGGGACAGAGTTGCAGTGTATGTAGGACCCAGGGGTTCTAGGTTCCTTGAGCCTGAATAACATCAGCACCAACATTAGCTCATTCTGATAACCTTGATTT